ATTGTTGGAGTTGAAAATTACGAGAAATATAAAAATCACCTTTTGTCAACGAACTTTCTCGCCATCCTGACATATCTACATTGATTGAATGTTTTGCAATTGGTAGATGACAAGTCGCTTGGAAAAAGAGGATAAATGGAAGAAAGTGCTGACACTACAGCGTAAGAGAATGGCAATATCGTTGATCACTGCATCCCATCTTTATAAAGTCGAAAGGTAAGTGAAAAATCAGGTTTACAGTCGCAAACGGATGAGTCTACCTCATCGCCTCATCCAGTAATCGGAGCGGTATCTTGGTACAAGTTTTGGAAGAACGATTACCATTGCTAGAGTTCTGTTATCTGCTGTATAGAGGATCCTCGATTAGTGACAGAGATTACTATGGAGGTGTAAATGTCAGCAGAAATGTTGCCAGTATCATCAAGTTTTCGATACTATGGCTGCGAGTAAGTCCTAACGTCTTTTTTTTCTTCTGGGATATTGAACAGGGTTGAGAATACGACGATATTGGCTATTATTAGGGGCAGTCAGTAAGTTTCTGAGGGTTATACCCACGAAAAATTTGATGACTACGTGTTAAACTCAATAACAATATAGGAATAGTGGCCCATTTGTTAATGAAGATGGTGTGAGCAACAACGGACAAAATTTTACAACTTTTGCGTTAGATTATAAGGTAGAGGAACCGAAACCAAAATGAGAACCAGGATTACTCAAGTGACGCTGCTGGCGTTGTTCAGTCGCACCTGTCGCCTTGCTCATGCTCTCTCGCTGTTCTTGTGGGCTCTTGCCCGAAATCCTGAAGTAATCTTCGCCTCTCGCTTGGATCCAGGAGGATATTGGGGTCTGCAGTTTCACCTGCTTTTTTTATCTCATGAGCAAGACAAATTGTGCACTTCTGTTCTTTTTAACTCGCTACCTACAAAATTTTTGACGTCTTATCGCGAAATTTGCTTTAAGGGAGCCATCTTCAGTGCGCGGCGACACCCAACCAGCGCTTAGTTTATGGCTCCTTGGCTGAAAGGCAAGTGGCACGATAGATCTGCAAGGCCTATAGAGCAAATATGCTAAGCAAGTAAGGAAGCTGTACCTCTAAGCAGGCGCCATGTGGCACCTTGTCCGACCGAGGGCGCTGTTTTTTGTCAGCTGCATACTCGCCCAGTGTCGTGCAGGTCGTGCGGGATTCCCTCAGCGTACACTCGCCATCCGAGCAGTTGATTAGGGCGGTCGTCAAAGGGCCGCAGACGCGGCTGCAGCAGCGACCGCGTGCGTAGGAACTGTTTGCGGCGATCAGCTGTTTCCGGCCTGGTTTAGTCATTTTCTCCCTACTTTTCACTGTTTTTGGCTGCTTTTTTCAAGGTTAGCTGTTCCTTGTCTTCACAAGGTGAATTATGATTGAGATTTTTCTAACTTTTGCGAACAATTAAACGATTAAACAAACAATAAATACCTAAAAAATAAATAAAAGAAAAATGCTCCATTACAAG